CCTTTCAATAATGTTTTATCTTCTTCCTCATAAAGGTCCTGCACATCTATTGTTCAGATTTGTTTCTAGGTACTTTATAATTAAAATAACATTTTTAATTGTTTGATGTATTCAATTTTGATTTTTGAAAATTTATTTTATATTGAGCAACCTTGCTGAACTCTTATAGTTGAACCTGGATCCATTTCTATATTAATTTCTCAGTTGGTGGTTCCTGGGGTTTTGACACCTCATCCCATCCCCAAACCCACAGCTTCCTTGTACTTTCTTCACGTCTGTGAGCTGTTTTTCTCATGCACCCCTTCACTGAGGGTATAGCTTTTTGAAGGTCCTGGTATTGGCAAGCATTCTAGTTCCCACTCCTTGCCTCATGGACTTAAGGGCTCAGCTTCCATCCCCACTGTTGGTGTGAAACCGAAGCACTAAGTTCCTGGCACTGCTGCCTATCCTCCATCTCCTCTTCCTCCAAGACAGTAGTTCCAGCACTTAGCCCTCTGATTTTCAGTTTCCTATCATTTTCGGCACCTGGGAGATTTCCCTTTCTTTTTGGCAGGCTGCACTATTGGAAATGTTTTGTTATATGTTGTCAGATATTCATAAGGTGTTTGTAGTAGGAGGGCTGTTTTCTTCCACTGTCTTTCCATAATGGGAATTCTCTCATTAGTTTTAATAATATCTTTTATGCAATTTTAATTTTCACAAAACTTTTTTGTGTGTGTGTGTTATCTTTGGTGTGCTAAATTTTATATGAACACTATTTTATTCTTGATCAATGCCTTTTAGACAGCATGTTTTATTGTACGAAATCTGTTTCTTGGTTTATTAAATCATTTGAATTTATAAGTTTTTTAAGAAGTTTATAAGAATTATAGAAATTTTAATGGCTATTAGTTATAGAGGTGCTTTATGATCATTGTTAATTTGTTTTTCTATCTAGATTCTCTGCCTCGTCAATGTTAGTCACAATGGTGTGAGTGAATCAGAATTGATGGAACTCTATCCTGAGATGTCCTGGGCTGTCTTGACCTCCCTTATTCACAGTTTACACAAAATGTGTTTATTGACTTATGGTTGTGGCTTGCTCAGGTTTCAACATCTACAGGTAAATGTTATTTTAAGCATCTATTAATATGATTTTTTTACTTATAAATGTCAATATATCATTCTATGTTATTTTATACCATGTTTATTTTAAATGTTTCACTTACAAGACAAAAATCTGAAATTTGGCAGTATAATTTTTATTTGCAATGACATTAGGTTAAATGTGGCTAATATTATGCTCATACAGTACCTTTATGAAATGGGTATTACTTTAAAAGGTGGTTTCTGCAAGATGAATAAGTTCTAGAGATCTGATGTACAACATTGTCCCTATAATTAACAATATGGCATTGTACACTTAAAAATTTATTTAGAGGATAGATCTCATATTAAGTGTTCTTACCACAATAAAATTTTTAAAATTTAAAGAAGAAAAGCCTGTTACAAAAATTAGAAAAACAAAAAAAGGTAGTTTATTTCTGGAAGAGAAAAACATTTTTTTGAACTTTATGTTTCATCGAACTGTTGGTATTATTATATGTATTAAGAGCTTGTACTCTGGAAGTCAGTCAGCATCCTTTCATTACCCAGCTCTTCACAGCTTAATAGCTATCTTATCTTGGGCAAATTTTAAGCCCTGGGCAGACTTTTTCAGCTTACCACAGGGGTTGTGAAGAGGATTAACAAAGATGGTCAGTGGTCCTTGTGAGATACTAGACGTGATGTCTAGCACATAGTAGTATATCTTTAGGAACTGTTGACTGATATACAGTAGGGCCTCTGCATCCATGGGTTCTGCATCCATGGATTCAGCCAACCGCAGATCAGAAATATTCAGAAAAAAATTGTGTCTGAACTGAATATATACAGATATTTTTCTTGTCGTTATTCCCTAAACAATACAGTGTAATAACTATTTACATAACATTTATATTGTATTAGGTATTAGTAATCTAGAGATGATTTAAAGTATATGGGAGGATTTGTGTAGTTTATATGCAAATTCTATGCCATTTTATATCAGGGACTTGAGCATCTGAGGATTTTTATATCCTCAGGAAGTCCTAGCACCAGTACCCCACAGATACTGAGGGGAGACTGTAATTCTTATCATCTACAATGCCGTGGCTGACACATATATGTATACAAATGAAAATGAAGGCTTTATTTGAGTATGCTGTATTATATTTTTAGATAAGAAATGTTTGTAATTTCACAGCCTTATCTTTCTCCTTTTTGTGTAACACTTGAATATAATTTACTCTTCTGAATAACTTTTCACTTCACATATCTGAGATTTTTTAATGTATTAACTAAAAGTTTGAATTGTTTTGAGTTCTTAAATATTAGTACAGGATTTTTTTCCTAATATCAGTTTATCACATAAGTGTATCCTGAATTTTAAAATATACTAATGTTATTTCTATTGTACAACTATAAAGTTGAAATCATTGTAAATTCCTTTTTACAAATTTATAGTTAGATATGCAATGATTTACATAAAGTAGAATGCAAAATTTTTTTTTTCTCTCTAGGCTTGGGAAACCGTGAGACTGGAGTATATGGAAAGTCCCACCATTATTTCTTCATATAGGCAAAAGCTAATCAACTATTTCACCTTGCAGCTAAGGTACTATAAATTCCATATTATTTTTATGTAACTTCTGCAACACACCCTATCTTTGTGTCTTTATTTCTTTTTCTTAGATTTTAACTTAAAATATAAAAATTTAATTATTACAAAAAAGATTAAATCCTCTCCCTATTCTGTTAATGTCAAAAGAAAAAAAGATGATTTTGTGTTTTAATATTATGCTGAAGGTTTAAACTGAAGTGAAATTAATGCAGGATCATCTTATTGTTTTTATTTTAGTCCAGTTTAATAGTTTAAAATATGTGTGCATGTATCTGTGTGTATTTGGGTCCAGTGAGTGTTTTTTTTTTTTTTTTTAAATAGTTCAATTTTAAGAAGATACCTTTAGAGTTTGGTTGATGGTCCTGAATATTACTGAATTTACTTTCATAGGCAAATTGGAAAAGCTTCTGATTTAGGCCTAACCTTCTCAGAATTGGATTATACTTAAAGAGTCAGAGATATGTTAAATGTATTTTTCTTCCTTCAACATTGGTCTGAAGCCTTTTAGAAGCAGTTTCATTGTAGGAAGAGATGATCGAGCGTTGACTACTCTTTCTAATAGTCAGGACAGAGTGACTTGGAGAAGTGCAGATGAACTCCCTTGGCTTTATCAGCAGCAGGGAAGTAAACAGAAGTTGCACGATTGCCTTCTCAATCTCTTTGTGTCTCAAAATCTTTATAAGAGGTAAGAAACTTATTATAGAACATCTTCCCCCCAAAAGATAGATTTCAACAGTTGTTCAGTTGTTCAATTTAAGAAAAAACAGCATTTTAAACTTGAAAATTAGTTCAGTTTTGGTGGTACCTGAAATACAGTGTGGGAGAAATTAATAAAGTTTGCAAATTGCTGTGAGATCTACTTTTTCCAAGAGGAAAACATAGAGTGTTACTGCTTCATAAAAACAGGGCTGGAATGATCTTGGGACAACTTTATATCTTATTCTTGCATTTAAGCAGGTCTCAGTCTAAACATCCCAGAGAGGTAGTGTATGATGTCTGCTTCTCAGGGCCTTCACGTATCTCAAAGTGTAGATTTCAAACCAGACTCTGGGCTCCAAATAGGATCTGACTGGTGTTGAATTTAAAGAAAAGATTACCCTGATTGATAAGTGTATTCTGTTTGTCTCTCCTGGTATGTTTATCAGTGGCAGAACGACCTTTTTATGAGCCAAACTTCTAACCTACTAAGCCTCATGAGGGGGTTTGTCTGCTTCACTTAGAAATTTAGACATTTATCATAAAATAGCTAATTTGTTTTGTTCCCAAGTGAACTCTCAAATTTTTGTTGCACCTCCTAAGTCATTTCTGATCCCCATTCCAATTTTTCATGATTTCTTTGAAATCAGGTTTGTTCTTTAGTTTACCAGCTCTCCCATCCTACTTAATAACATTTACAGATGAATAAGCTTACTTTTGTCATTCAATTACATGATAAAAATGCGAAGTGGATACTCTGTGATAGTTTGCCTGTGTTTCATTAGTTTCTTCTGTTCTAATTTCCATCATTTAAAATAATTTCTTGGGTGAACTCAGCAGTTGACTGCATATCATGAAATGTTTAAAAAAGATTCAGATAAATTTTCATTGGTGAGTAACCATGATGATATTAGTAATAGCCAACACAATGGAGTACTTACTGTGTGCCATAATCTTAACTGTAACACCTGAGGCAGTTATTGTTGGTGGCCGCATTTCTGCACATGAGGTCAGACATCCTGCTCAAGATCACAGAGCTAGGAAGCAGTGAGACTTAGATGACAATCTGAGTCTTGCCTCACTATACTACACTTGCCTTCTAATAAATTGTCAATAACTTGATATGAATTCTGGCATTTTCACTCTATAGTGGATTTTAAAGTCTGTTTTTCATTAAGTTACTGTTATTTGTTGAAACAGAGGACACTTTGCTGAGTTGCTGAGTTATTGGCAGTTTGTTGGGAAGGACAAAAGCGCAATGGCAACAGAATACTTTGATTCATTGAAGCAGTATGAGAAAAACTGTGAAGGCGAGGAGAACATGATTTGCTTAGCTGATCTTTATGAAACCCTGGGGAGATTTCTCAAGGATCTAGGCCTTCTCAGTCAGGTAACCTCAAAGGGGAGTCAGAGACAGGGTGGGCTTTTCATGTTTACTCTTTTCTCCTTCTTCCAAGGAGTTAATGTAGCTTTCATTTTTTGTGCTGAGTTCTTTAATGTTTAGTCAGATGACAGATCTTACGGCATTTCACTCACTTTTTTTTTATAAGATAATTTATTCATGTATGTGGGGTACAAAGTTGGCTTTCAGTAGTTGTGTACAATGTGTGATGGTCAGATCAGGATAGTTAGCTTGTTCATCATTGTAATATGTAATCACTCTTTGTGTCTGTTAAACAATTTCTCATTTCACTCACTTTCATTGGCCTTTGACCTTTTTTCCCCAGGCTGTGGTGCCTTTACAGAGGTCTCTAGAAATTCGAGAAACAGCTTTAGATCCAGATCACCCAAGAGTAGCTCAGTCCCTCCACCAGCTAGCAAGTGTGTATGTGCAGTGGAAGAAGTTTGGCAATGCAGAACAACTGTATAAACAGGCATTGGAAATCTCAGAAAATGCTTATGGTGTGGACCATCTACATACTGCTCGTGAACTTGAGGCACTTGCAACTTTGTATCAGAAACAAAATAAGTAAGATTTAGATCAGTAATATTCTGAATGTATGAATGGGATTTACAGTTTTTTAATGTACTCATGTGGTAGGCTTTGCTTTGTGGCTGTGTACTTTTCCTTATCCTATACATAATGTTCAAATAATATTTCTTGGTCTGGGTCTTCATGGGGTAAGCAGAGAAAATTAGAAGTACAAGTTTCATCTCTGCTTGAAGATGTGTGAAGGATAGGGCATGGACTTTGGAGTCATATAGTTCTGCATTCGAATCCTGGCTTATTCACTGACTAGCTTTGTAATATTGAGTGCATTACTAATACAGGGTCAGCAAACCATTACCCACAGGCCAAGTCCAATTCTGTAAATAAGGTCTTATTGGAACACAGCCACATTTTTCCCCTTACATATTATCTGTGGTTGCTTCCATGCTTTCATGGCAGAGTTTAGTTGCAACAGAGACCACATGGCCCACAAAGCCTAAAATATTAACTAGCCAAAAATAAATAAAGTTTGTCAATCCCTGCTATAATAAAAAGTCTCATATCTAATAGGCACCCCCTGAATGGCATCTCTTCCTTTATCAGATATTATTTCTTTTGCTCCATCGTTAAGTGATATATATTGAAACTTTTTCTTTTGTCTTTTAGAAGTATTGTTTCATATAAGTTTTATGTGAATTTCACATTTATATTTGACCAAAAATTAGCCTGTGCAGAACGAGATGCAATAGCATACTAAAATTTTGAATTTTCATTTAGTTAGGTTGTCCTTTAGAGATTCAGAATGAGTTAAATAAGTTAAAAACAGTTAAATATCAGCTAACTTAAAGGATTGATTTATTTTTTGTCAAATTTTGTTTCATGAAGGCTTTTTTTTGGAGATTTTAAATTCCATATGACTATCACTTCCAGAATAATGCTATAGTTAATAGACCAAAATGGCTTTACACTATGTAAGAAGTGCTTTCTTTTCACTGAATAATTATGCTTTGAACGTGTTTCTTTTATTTGACTTAATGTACTTTTTATTTTTAAGATATGAACAAGCTGAGCATTTTAGGAAAAAGTCTTTTAAAATTCGTCAGAAAGCTACAAGGAGAAAAGGCAACTTGGTAATGAGAGATTTCTTTTGTTTTGTGTTTTGAACCAAAGAGGAAAAGAGCATTTCTGAATATTTCAAGTATATAAACCTCACGTGTTTAAGAGCTTTAGATTTTAAAGTGACTTCTAAAAAAGTACTGATTAACATTTTTTTACTTATAATACATGTTTATTAGTATCACTGAGAAGTACAACTTACTAGACTTTTAAAAAGTTGAACTATAAAGTTCATTTGAAGGTTAAACTTTTGGAAGATGGAATTTAAAGCTACTTCAATTGTTTTCTTTAAAGGGTTGGAAAAGGGAATAAAAAAAGTTGTTAACATTTTATATTATATTCAAGTGTGAAGAAATTCTTCCCCTTGAACACAAAAGATTATTTTCATTTTTGTAAGTTATTCATAAAATCTAAATATAGCATATTTGTTTGTTTTAACTGAAAATGCTATGTGTATGTTTAAATACCTGATGTTTAAGTGTTTTGAGAATGGGGTTGGTAAATACGTACAAGTTAATTCTGTTCTCTAATCCTTTTTAAGAAGATGAGACATAGTTTACTGTGCTAAAATACCTCATAGCATTTTCACAAAATCGTTTTTAATGAATCTTAGAATGTGTTGCTATGTGAAAATATATGTGTGTATTCTTAATAACCATTAAATTAATTCAGTGTGATGCTTAAAATAATTGTCATGTAGATTAAAGGGGAAAAAAGGAGAAAGTGTTTTTTTAGGACTCCAGTATATTGTTTCAGAATCAAAGATTGCTCCTACTTAGTGATTGTTTTTAATTTTGTGTTTGCTCTAGTATGGATTTGCCCTTTTACGTAGACGGGCTCTACAGTTAGAAGAGCTTACATTAGGTAAGGACACACCTGATAATGCTCGGACCCTCAATGAACTGGGTGTTCTCTACTATCTACAAAATAACCTGGAGTGAGTAGCATGGCATTTTCTCTATTGTTTTCTTTCACATTGTTTCTCAACTAAAAAGTTATTCTGTAGCTTCCCTAGTATGTATTAAATATTTATGAAAAGTGAGTCTGTTTAGATACTGTACATGAGACCTCACAAAAGAAGAAACTTGGGACTAATGGAGAATAAAGAAAAGAATACAGATGGCTGTTAGTTTTATTCATTAGTTTATTTGGAGACTCAAATGGCATTTTGAGTTAAAAGACTCAAAATGGCATTTATATTTATACTTTCTGAAAAAGAAGTGTTTTTGGATTTCTTTGGATGTCAGAAAAATGTAACAGATTTGAAACTTTGGATGTCAGAAAAATGTAACAAGGGGCCGGCCTGTGGCTCACTCGGTAGAGTGCGGTGCTGATAACACCAAGGCCACGGGTTCGGATCCCATATAGGGATGGCCGGTTCGCTCACTGGCTGAGCGTGGTGCTGACAACACCAAGTCGAGGGTTAAGATCCCCTTACCGGTCATCTTTTAAAAAAAAAAAAAGAAAAATGTAACAAATATTTAGCACACTTCACACAAGTTTCTTTTATTTAAAATTATTAGTACTAACTCCTAAGGAAGAACAAGTGAATACCAAAATCTTTTGTTTGACTTTGTCAAATAATTTTAAAATATAAAAAATTTGTTTTGAAAAATATCTATATATTTGTCTTTTAGAAATGAAGTGGAGAATTGAGGCAGTGATCCCAAAGGAAATCACCCCATACTTTAGGCTCTCAAACTATCAGGAAAAGGGCAGGAAGGAATGGGAATGGTAGAGTGGGTTTTGAGGGGAATCCTTCATTTTAACTTGGATCTGAGAATAAAAATGATTCAGTTCTCCACTTAATTAGGGCTCACGATTCTGACCTCTAGAAAATAAATTGTTTAAACCATTTTGGGGTTGTTTTCATAGAATAGCCGACCAGTTTCTGAAGCGTTCCTTAGAAATGAGGGAGCGAGTTCTAGGACCAGATCACCCTGACTGTGCCCAGTCTTTGAATAATCTGGCGGCTCTATGCAATGAAAAGAAACAGTACGATAAAGCAGAAGAACTTTATGAAAGAGCTTTAGACATTCGGAGGCGTGCGTTAGCTCCTGATCACCCTTCTTTGGCATATACAGTGAAGCATCTTGCAATCTTGTATAAGAAGATGGTAAGTCATCCTTGGAATGCTTACATGTTTTATAACATATCAATTAGGCCTCAATTACTATCAATAAAATTGTCTTTCTGATGCATAGATTATTTTATATAAGCTTTTAAAATCATGATTTAATTTTTTAACAAAGAGCTGAGTAGAACATTTAAAAATATTATTTCAGACTTAAGATTCTGGTTTGGTTTTGTTAAAATACATTCCAAATACAAATGTATTCATCAGCATTCTAATTCAAACTTATTTTATATTTCAGAAATTCTAAAATTCCACTAGTATTAAATTTGCTGTGTAAAGCCACCATAAACATAACAAATACCCAATTGTCAGGACTGCAGGAGAGGTCTTTGTAGTTGATTAAATGAACATTTTTATTTCACTCTTTCTTGGCTTTGCCTATAATTAAACGTAAACTTTCTTTGCTGTAGGTTTCTAACCTGAGTGATGTTTGGAATTTTTATAGCTATTCCCCAAAACAAATGCCAGGGAAGTCTACTTTCATTTAGTACAGTTACAGAGCTTCATAGATTGTCTTTAGCCTTTGTGGGACTCTTTCCAGTGATCCTGGCACTGAAGTTGGTTTTAGTAAGGAGGGTACATTGTTAAGCTATTTCTGCTTAACTTTGAAGTAAAAGAAATAATTAAGAAAACCTGGAAGAGATTTAGTGGAAAATGAGTTTTTTATTTTTATTTATTTATTTATTTATTTATTTATTTGGCAGCTGGCCAGTAAAGGGAGAGTTTTTTATTTTGATGTGGTCTCCAAATTATGTGCAGTAGCAATTCTACTTTAACTTGCATCTTTTTACTGTAACAGAACAATGAGTAGTAATGGGTGATTCTAAAAGGCTTTCTGAATTATCAAAGAAAATGTTTTTATACTTAGTATATAGCTTTACTTACGTATTCTATTAAATTTTCAGTTATCTATAAAGTTAACCATTAAACTGGGAGGAAATGCTTCTGATTTTTTTTCCTCAAAATTACCTTTTAATATGAAACTTTATTTATGGACAAAGTTCTGTTAAGATAGTATTTATAGCCTTAATATTTTTTTTAGATTTCACTTTTGTTTTTTAGGGAAAACTTGACAAAGCTGTACCTTTGTATGAATTGGCTGTTGAAATTCGACAGAAATCCTTTGGCCCAAAGCACCCTAGTGTAGCTACTGCCTTGGTGAACTTAGCTGTTCTCTATAGCCAAATGGTAAGTTCCCACATTTTAACTCTTTATAAATGAATGATCTTAAGGTATAAAATATAAACATGAAAAAAAAAAAAATATATATATATACACATGAGTTAGATATGGCCCAGTAAAAATAAAGAGAATTTAAGTTTATTATTTATCTTCTAATGCTTCCTTTAATACTTGAGAAATTATTGAAGTTAGATATTAAGGTGGTCTCTTCCTCTTAGTGTAAAACACCAACTGTTTAGTTCAGAGCATAGCCTTAGTTTTTAAATTTGGAGATGTTCTACATCTCTCTATATAATATTGTCTTTAAGCTTTTGGCATTTGCCCATTGATGGGTAAGAAACGGGTATGGGTACCCATTGGGCAATAAAGAAATAGGTTTTGTGCTTATGTTACTGGATTATGGTCGAATGATTACCAAGCCAGGTCTAAAACTTAGGTATCTGACTTTCTCTTCATAAATTAATCTGTTTATTCACATCTTTTAAGAGGATATTACCATTTTTAAAGTGCTTACAAAGTAGGCCAGCATAGTCTAGAATACATTAATGGTAATTTTAGGAACCTAGTGTGTTTAACTGAGCATTATTACTTTTTTTATAAGAAAAAACACATTGAAGCTTTGCCACTATATGAAAGAGCATTAAAGATTTATGAAGATAGCCTGGGTCGGATGCATCCTCGAGTTGGAGAAACATTAAAAAATTTAGCTGTGCTTAGGTAAGATTTTTTTTTACTTTTCTCATACAGCCCAACTCTTTTGAAATAGCTTGTATTTGAATCATCATAGAGAAGCACAAAATACTTATTGCCGAATATGTTTTTTCTTGGAGCAGGGAGGTGTTGGTTTTTGTTTCTCAACTTCAGGTGATACTAAAGTAATATCCAGAAGTGAAATGAAGGCTGCATGATCTATATTGCAGGGGAGTGTATCATGACAAATAGTGAAGGATGGTACATTTACCTACCTCTGGGAGTAACAGGGGCAATTTGCTGTCCTCAAAGCTAATTTACCATTAAATTTATGTTGACTTTTGCTTGCTCATTTGTTTCTCTCAGGATACAGAGAATACCTAACTCCCCTTTGCAGTTTCACTGCATCCATTACAACATGGTCTTAATGGTATCCATATGAAACACTGAAATGTTCCACAGTACAGATGGAAAGGAGATGAGCTTGGATATTCTATTTTACTGGTCTCCCTAAATGAATGCCCTGGAAAAAGGGGAAAAATGAGCAATTATTCATAACTTGTTTTTCTGTATCCCATAACATCATTCAGAATTGGAAAGAGATTATATTCTCATTTTAAGAGTTTTTTCTTCTCTCAAAGCTATGAAGAAGGGGACTTTGAAAAAGCTGCTGAACTATACAAAAGGGCAATGGAAATAAAAGAAGCAGAAACGTCACTCTTGGGCGGAAAAGCTCCTTCACGACATTCGTCAAGTGGAGACACATTTAGCTTAAAAACTCATTCTCCTAATGTTTTCCTTCAGGTACCAAGGTAATAGCAGCAGTTACAATTCTTTGAAAATGTACCTTAGCATAAAATAATTAAACATTGGAACATTAGAATTTGAAACTTAAAAGTTTTTAAGAAAATTTATTTTTACTACTTAGTGTGATTTAGTATTTGTATGAAATCGCATTGGACTACATGACATTTGAAGTTGTGATTGTGTCTGTTTTGTTTAAAAGAATTGATTTTCCCATTGTGTGGGATTCAAGGATGTAGACACATTAGAATTCTAAGATGATGACACGGAGAGTAGATCATGAGAGGATTTGTCTCTGTTTCACAAGACCTGGAAGAGCAATTAAGACAAGGATTCAAGAATTCTGTGACTCTGTTTAAATCTCTCAAGAGCTACTTTAGCCTCACCATTCACTTTCTGCTTTTCAGTAGTAGTGTGGCCCAATTCTGTACCTCAAAGAAATGTTTTAAGGATTGAAGGGATAATGTTTATGTAAGGTTTGAATTGTCTCCACTGAAACAAATTAGTCACAGGAATACCTGATTGTTACATTTTTTTTTTTTTTTGTCTTTTTCGTGACCGGTAAGGGGATTGCAACCCTTGGTGTGGTGTCGCCCCACACCGCGCTCAGCCAGTGAGCGCACTGGCCATTCCTATATAGGATCCGAACCCGTGACGGGAGCGTCGCTGTGCTCCCAGCGCTGCACTCTCCCGAGTGCGCCACAGGCTTGGCCCTGATTGTTACATTTTTAAATTTTTTATTCTACCTTTTCCTTGAACAGATTGGGCCAGTCCCTCTGCTTTCTCTGCCCTTTATGTTGTATTGTTTAAATACTGTGTAGTATGTATATGCATAATGTCTGAAGTCATTAATACAGTAACAGGTCAAGCTCTTTAGCATTCTTTGACCTTCCCTAAAATATGGATATGACATTTTCCTCTATCTTCTTTCTTAAATGGCCTAAATCTGTCTCTTCATTTACCTCAAACTCAAATTAGTCTGCCATTTTTATAATGAAAATATATTTTTTAGATTCTATAAATACTGCCACATTTTGGATATTACTTTATGCCATTTTTGTGTTTATGTATAATACCTTCATCAATTTTAATACTCATAAGATTCCAACATGTATTAATTGTAAAAGTGAAAGATGTGATAACCATATTTCACTATTTTAAATAAAAGTGCAATTTCAAGGTTTTTTCCCACTGTAGTTTATACGAGAGGTACATTTTGCATAATTATTTAAGAAATACATGAAACATTAAAAAAAGATTTGAATGTTGTCAATACTCACTGTGTAGTTTGATCAACTTAACCTTGGTGACTCCATACAGTTTTAGTTAATGTTCTTTGAGGCCTGGCTACTCACATGGTAGTCCACAAGCTGGTGTCATCACCACCTGGAAGTTTATGAAAAATTCAGACTCAGGCTTCTCCCCAGATCTACTGAATCAGAATCTGCATTTTAGCTAGACCCCAGGTTATTCATATGCACATAAGTTTGAAAGGCAGTGGTATAACTCTAAGGCACTATAGTGTTGACTTAAATTAGGCAGGATCGTATAAGCATCACCTTTCCTCTTTTGGGAGAAGTTCAAGAGAGGAAAAAAATAAAATATCTTTCTTGGTCTGCCAGCTATAAAAGGCAGAAAGTAATTGAGTTCACAAATATACCTGACATTGATCTTAGAATTAAGCTATGAGAGCTTAAAGATTGATTATTTAGTGATATAAGTAATTTGATACATTGTAAGTAATGCATTAAGTTCACCACCTTAAAAAAACTGTTTTAGGAAATAATCAGAGACTAGTACTATAGAAGATCCCTGAAAAAAGGAAAAAACTAGCCAAAGGATAGTATGGATGTATTCTTTTACCTCCAAAATTTGGACTAGAAAAACAGACAAAAAAGCAGAAACTTCTAATATTATTCTAAGTGACTTTATGGTAAAACTTAATTATACTTGGGGGATGACCACTCTATACCTTTCAAAAGAATCAAGTTTAAATACAATAAACTATATTTTGGTCTTAGTGTTTATTGTACTACCAACTCAGATGTTTTTATGTAGAACGCCTACTTCAAAATGCCTGTTTTCAATGATAAAAACAGCTCAGTTATCTCTTCGAGTGTATTTGTGTGTACATGTGTATTTGAGGTTCTCAAATAGGAGTATTGTGTTTACATTAATATTTAACTCATAATGAATAGGTCAACTATAAATCTGAATTGGTAGGATCCAAATTATGCTAGTTATAATTAATGTTCATTCATCAGTACTTTCCAGAAAGGGAAATATGAAAGAAATATGTGATGGGGGGAGGCAGGGAGGAGGTATTGAAGCTTCCTTGACAAATATATATATCCTTAAAATATCCTTAAATATTTTTAAGTGGTTACCTTTGTATACTGATCAGTGTGTTTGTAAGTAAGTATCCAGGGAATATTATTAAAAGAATAAACCCATAATACATATTCCTTCTTGTACATTTGAGTAGAACCATAAATGAACTTCCCGTTAACAATGAGAAAAGAATTAAAGTTGAATATATTGTTTGTTTTACTATCATTTAGAATCTTCGTGCTAAGGCAGTTTTGAGATTGCTTTTCAATCTTTCACATAAGAATCAATGGTGTTACATATCTGGTTAAACATGATGGGTTTTTTTAGTAATGCGAAATTCAGCGATGATTAATTTCCCATAACCAACTGCCTACATAAAGAAGTTTTCATAGCATGCAGACTATCAAGAGAGCCCTCTAGGTATCAACAGATACCTGTTACCAGATTTTTTTCTGGTAAAATCCCATAGTTTTTAATAAACTATACTAGACACACACACAAAAAAATAAGATTTGGCAAGTTAAGAGCAGATAAAAGGCCTTTAGAAGATGTTGTATTCTAGATATTATACTTTATCAAATCATAAAATTTTGTAAGTTAAACCTTACTAAATTTGCGTACCAGAGTTTCCAGAGGGGAATTATTTTAGAAAGACTTCATTTCATTTTTGAAATTCAAAACATCTCTAGTAACTAGAAAAGCTATTTTACAGTTGAATACACTAAATTTTTTTAAAATGGTAAAAGACCTACCAAGGCAACATAAATAAGTTTCAAGCTAGAAAAATTACCCCCTACTTTCCTGACTTCGCTGTAAACATAAGAATCACAGTATAATCCTAGAATCTCAAAACTAACATATTGAACGTAATATTTGAAACTTTCTGAAATCAGTTTTAGAACTTTATTTTACAAGTGGGGAATGTAATTCTAACTTTTTACTAACATTTTTCCCCCTAGAGGTACAATTTAGGTATTCGTATCTTCAAA